TACTTATCTTTCCGCAAACAATCTTGTAAAATCTGTATTGATCTTCTTTATCAATATATATTTTAAATTTGAAAATTGTGTTTGTATTCATCCCCCCCTTCTACAAACTGTTTAGTATTCTTGTAGACCCTTTTGGGACCAACAGACCCTTATCGCTCAAGGAATCAACCAGATTGGGTGTTCATCGCCCCAAAGCCTTGTCCGGATTGGGTGTTCATCGCCCAAGGTCGTGTCCGGATTGGGTGCTCATCACCCAAGGTGTTGTCCGGATTGGGTGTTCATCGCCTAAGGTCATGTCTGGATTGGGTGCTCATCGCACAAGGCGTTTATTCGGATTAAGTGCTCATCGCCTAAGGGTTGCCCGGGGAGGGTGCTCATCGCCCAAGTGTTGTCCAGTGAGGGTGCCCATCGCCCAAGTGTTGTCCGATGAGGGAAGTTCATCGCCCATGTGTTGTCCGATAAGGGCATTTCATTGCCCATGTGTTGTCCGATGAAGGCAGTTATCACCCAAAATGTTGAAACTGTTTAATGCCATTCCTGGCTAACAATAACTGATTTGACTACATTTTATGAGGAAATAATAGTGGCATATCAATGAGAGGTATACCATGGGATAAATGTGGCATATAAATGAGAGGTGTACTATGGGATAAATGTGGCAATTGTGGAATCTGTAGTTTGATCATAACTATTGTTGCCACATCTATGAGATGCAATGATTCAAAGTTATCATTTCTTTGTGATGTAAAAACTTGGAATTATTGCTCTTATTGATATAATAACAATGATGTTGTGTAGAGGAGGAAAATGGCTTATAGCCAGAGGCTTTAATTGTCTGTGTTTTGAATAAACAATATTTTTGGGATATTGAATATTACACTTCAAACTGTTCAAAAGAGTAAAGATTTGATAAAGAACCCAGAGGGTCTCTGGTTATCATTAAAACCTATTTTCTTTTAAGTTCGATACAATACTTTTTTTTAACTTTAGCCAATAACCAAGAACTTTGGTTAGTCGCATTTTTCTTGTAAGATTTTAAAGTTAAGATTAGGAGCTTTGATTCTTATGAGCCATAAGAGCTCTGGGTATTTCGTATCGAATGATGTGAGAACCTGAGTAGTTTCATTCCATATGTGGTACGAAATAAATTTATAACTCATATTTTTGTTTGTGATATTTGAGTTATATTTTATAAAAGTTGTTAGATATTCGTAAATTTATAAATATGATTTTATAACAGGTTTTGGTGATTTTTCACCCTGTAATTGCAAAGAAAGGGGATTTCTCACTGGACCTCAAGGTCTAACCTCATTTTGTATTTCAAAAATATGCATTGCAGGTCAGGCTATATCTAGGGATACGAGGAAGGGGAAAATGTGAAATTTTCTTGTTATGCTTATTTGATTTATGAAGAGAAGCATGTTATCTGTTGGATTTTTGGAATACTTGTTATCTATGCAAGTTGTGTACAAGAATGTTATGAAGAATTTTTGGTTGTCAATTATGTAATATAGCCTCTTGTACTATTGGTACCAAATATGTATTAATTGTATTTCTTGATATATGAAATACATGGCTATATGCAAATGTGGAACCTGGGGCGTTACAAGTTGGTATTAGAGCCTGAGTTTAAAGGATTTAGGTATTCAGCATGAGGCCTACTTAAACTGTATTGTTTGCACATTAAGGGTCCCTGACATAAATAGAACCATTGGGATAAATATAATGGGTTAAGAGGACAATATGTAAGGTAAATTCAAATTACAATTGGCCACTCTAATTAGAAAATTACAGGTACATATATGTACTTAGACACCTTATTATATTTGGGGAATGTGATTATGTGATTATTAATATTGAAAATTTGCAGATGGTCAGTCATTCCCGAAGGTCTGAAAGGATCGCCCTCCCCAACCCCAATGATAGAGAAAATTCACCTGAAAATGTTCCAACTAGTTTATCAGAAGGCAGAGGAAGAGGTAGGGGTAGAGGCTGTGGAAGAAATCAGGGAAGAGGAATGCAAAGTCAATCTGAGTTACCTCCATATCAGAATGAATCATTTTTTGTAAATATAAATCAAGAACCTGTGCAGCAACCTGAGTATGTGATCTGAGATGTATTAGCGGAAGAAATTAATAAACTGAGAAACATTTTGACTTCTATTCTTGGGGTACTGATAAGTGTTAATTTAT